GGTGGCAGACGACACACGTGTTGCACCAATGTGTGGCACAACACAATTTGCATGATTTCCCCCACTAAGAGACGCGTGAAAATGGAGCCCAAAAGATTGCTCCTAAGGATTTGTGTGCCCCAAAGATCTGCCTCCCGAAAATCTGCCTCTCATCCCAACGTGCTTCAAAGGCATCCTGTAAGGATCCTGGATGGAAGCATTCATACGAGCATGTGGTATCTAGAATATTTAAAAGCTCTCTGGGATTCCTTCAGAGTTTTCCTCTTGATTCTTTAATCATTTAGTTTTCCTTTAATCTTTTCTCAATAAGTTGTTCTTTAAATATTCCTTAAAATATAAACCCATGTTTTTGCAAAGATCTTTCGTGTTGGCTCAAAATTGCAGCAGTGGGTGGCAGTGGGGCCACTGTGTGATCACCGCGCCCCAAGGTCTTTTATGTCTGAGCTTCAGCTTCAGTTTTCGGTTCTAGTTCCCACAGAAAACTCCATCCGCTGACTGAGTGGCTGCTCCATCCACAGATCCATCGTTGAGCAGCGTCACACACAGAACGGGGCATGAGACCAACCAAAAGAGGGTTCGAGCCAGGATATACTCTGTGGAACCCTGCTGAAGAAATGCTCTTGTTGTGGCTGCCGGTTTCATCATTGATTGAGGACTGGAATCTTCAAAAGACAGAATGAATCATCGATCTCGAGATGTGGAGGATATACAGCCTTTTCGGATGCCTTGTGGGTCTCCCACATGACTCGAAGGTCCCAAGAAGTACTCGAAGATGGAAACTCTTTTCCCCTTTTCCCTCTTTCGCTCCTCCCCCTGCCCTGCGCACTCTGTTTCTTTTGTCCCTCTTCGTTTTGTTTTTTTTTTTTTTTTGCTTTTGTTTTTTGGCATCTTTTCGTCTTGTGCCGCTTTGGGCCTCGACATTCTTCTCGATTGTCTTCTGTCGCGAGTGGGTTTTCGCTCGTTTTGGCTTGGAAATTATTTTATATTTAGCCTCTTTTCTGCTGCTGCTGCCTCAGCAGACATTTCGTGTGGCACGATGTGAAAAGTGGCAGAGCAACAGCGCGCAACCCTTCCCCTCAGCGAAGCGGTGTCTGGGGCATGCAACTTAAATATAGAACTGAAAACGGGCTCTGCGGCGAATGCGAATGCCAATACCAAGGGGCATGCCACACGCATAGGCAGCAGCAACAGCTCTCCGAAAACATTAAATTGAGCGATGATTAAAAAGGCGATAGAAAACGTTAATCGATAAATAGATACATTCATAGTCGATAAATCAATCAAAATAACATCCACTGCGGTGTTGCATGCCACGTTGCAGAACACTGGTTAAAATGAAGTTTGGAATTCTGTCTTTTGGAGGAGGACACACCACAAATGCGAAATACTATAGCGATAGTTTCTAAGGTCTATCGACAGGCATTAAGCGATGGGAACTCACTTGAAATCGATGATTACAGAAGAATTCTTCGACTGCAGAGTATTGTGTGGCATTCGCAGCACTGTTATCGATCAACGATGCTATCGATAAGTCGATAAATTACTAATTAATCCAGTCAGAAAGTGAAACAGAAGGCTGTATGACAAACAGCAGTGAAATCAGAGTAAAAGAAATTGAACGGAAAGACAATCTTCAATAATACACTCTCCCGGTCTTTTCTGGAGGTCCTTCCCCCGTTTCTGGGGTAGCATAGAGTGTATCACATCTTCGGTAACGAGGTAAACAAATTTCATGCTGCACATCCGGTGCATGCAAGTCTTCCCAATCCTCATGCTGCAAGCCCCAGAAGCAATAGCCGGTGCCCCACGCTACTGTAGTCCGTGGCAGAAGTGCATGCTTATGCTTTTTGCAGAGGAGTGATACAATTTTTAGCAGTTGGGGGCAAGGCTAAGATCAATGGCGTGCAGATAAATTAGGTGGCACCCGGCATCCATCCACAGTTCGGGGCCTTGGAGGCTGCTGATCCCAGAAGATCCACCAGGATGAGGATTAATCGGGGATCCAATAAGGGGTTTCTCCTCTCATTCAGACAGAACCCACACAAGAGAGAGCGATTCAAATCTGCGATTTAATATTTCACACAAAACTCAATAATCCGATCTACATTATCGATTATAGATATACACTACTGGTCAAAATAATATGTACACACATACATAGGTATCGTGCTAGTTTTTTATAAAATAGATGGAAGTTTTTTGAAGGTATGGATGCCAAATATTGAAATCAAAAAAAATTAATGTGGGAAACCGTCTTTATTCAATTCTATTCTGCAATTTTTGCTGGATGGGCATTTTTGGTCTGGTTCTATTTATAAATTTTAAAGGATTTGATAAGGCTTTTGTCAACGGATTGCTGGTTTTGATTGATTTCTTGCATATGTAAGTGCAAGAGTTAGAACTCTTTAGATAGGCCTAACTGCCGAAGAGAAGAAGATTTCCAAGAATCTTCAAAAAGAAAGGAAAAGTCTTGGAGAATTTCGAAAAATTACATATCACTGAATTTTCTAGAAATTCTAAAGAAAACACGAATAAATCGATGCATATCCAAACTATTCATCTACTTTTCGATTAAAATGTAATCGATAATCAATATATATCGAATCTATTAAAGATATTTAATGGAATTAAGAAAAAAAAACACTTAATAATCGAATCCCATCGATTAATATTTTACAAACGAATTTTAAAATCATTACATGGCATAATCGATACGTTTTTGATCCTTGTACTGATTATTCCGGGATATATTGTTGATAGACATATTATTGCCATTCGCATCGATCACATATCCCAAGGAACCCCACAATTATCGTTAATATTAATTTAACATTTGATACATGGAAAACACTCAATAGCCGATAAATCGACCAACTATATATAAGAAATTGATCAATATATGTATATTTTTTTATCCATATAAATGGTTTAATCATTAATCGATTTGATTCCTCCATTATTAAAGTCCCGATCAAAGGAAAGACAGATCTTTATATCGATCGAAAATTGTATTCTGCATTGTAACAATGAAACACGGAACAAGACCGATTGAATTTATCTTTTTATTGGTTAATAAACAAACTTTATTCCACGAATAATCATTTCTTTTCATCGACTAATCCCGGCTAATCGCTGGGAAAGGTGGCACCCCAATTGACCCATTGACAGACACCGAACGCCCCTCCCCGGGTTGAAAATGTGTTGATTTTGCGGATACAACCAGACCGAAACCGAAACCGAAACCGTTTTGCCCTATCCATTCCTATCCGCCACTTCCCCCTCTCCAATCTGCCTCCAATTACGCGACTCTGCAACAGACGGACGCGTCAGGCGAATGCCAATTCATTTTGCGGATATGACACGAATCCATTCATCCATTTACCCAAAACTTTTTTTCGAGTGAAATGCGAGAAGGGGGCTCCATTCGGAAAAAGATAGACAGAGAGTGCGAGGGAGGGGGAGGGAGGGAGGAGCTCATTAACGACAGCTGCCGTACGATACATATGTATATCGAATATCATGCGAATATCATAATCATAATCCAATTATTTGAGCCCTTTCGGGAGGGAGGAACGAGGGAATCAAATCAAAAATACATCACAAATTGTTTGTTTTTTTTCTGCGGGCTATTTTAATTAGTGGATGGGATCATATTATAAGAGAGAGAGAGAGAGGGAGAAAGAGGGAGAGGGATCCCAGAAGATACCCCCAAGGGCTGGGCCGCACACGATTTGCACACACTTTCGCCTCCTTCTTCTGCACTCTGCGGCAAACAATTGAGATATCATTCAATCATTCATTCAAATGCAAATCGAAATTTAAATTGAAAGGAGAATCGAAATTAAACAAAGGTAATATTAATAGGTCTTTCTCTCCGTCGACGGGTCTCGTATTTTGCAATTAGCCGAGACAGAAGTTTAATTAAACAAAAGAAATTGCAGCGCCTCTTTGCGATGAATAATCGATTTCATTGGGTGGGAATCGGTTTTCGAATGGACGGATTCTCTTTGAAATCAGGGCTGCAATCGGACTTCCAGTCGATGTTTCTAATCAGAAACAGGAGTAACGGAACCTGAAGCAGGATTCGTCACAGCAGGCGGTAGAACAGGAAAGGAATATGCATCGCAGTAAAAAAAAAAGACTAAAAACCAAACGAAAGGAAAATAAAACACAAAAAAAGACAAAATCCACAGACAGAAAAAAACAAATTTGTGAAACCGTTATTATCATGTCTTGTCGTGGCCATCCCATCCACTCCGTCTCCCTCTTCGCACTTCTTCCTCTTCACACTCTTCGATTATGAAATAAACATTTTGTAGCTGCATCTCCCTCCCTCTCCCTCTCCCTCACCCTCTCCCAGTCAATGTCTTCCCTCTCTGGCTGGCCCTTTCTTTTTTTAATAAGAAATACATCGTTTTACCATTTAGTTTTTACCTGTCTCCCTCTCTCTCGCACTCTCTCCCTGCCTTTCCGTCTCTCTTTTTCATTAATCCAATTTGTTTTCGCTGTTTGAGCAGAGGGGGTGCAAGAGGCAGGTGCTAATTCAATTAGCGGATTATCGATATGCGCTCTCTGTCTATCGATTGCGCGACTCTGTCTATCGCCGGAGCCCCTTCCAACCACAGCATCGTCCCCTCTTTGTCGCACCAACTGCTTTACAAGAAATTAGAGCGTCGGGGCCAGGCAGAGAGCGGTGGACGGGCAGAATTCCAGTAAACGGCAGAGCAGCCCTTATACCCATCGAGAGCGAAAGGGTAGGCAGCGCTGCAACGGCGGGGAATGCAGCGCAGCGACAGCGAGAGAGAAAACAATATAAAGAATGGAGATCCTCTGCCGCCGTCGCTGTTTTTAGTTGCACTGCGTTTCTGTCGCACTCTCTTGATTCTCGCAGAAAACACAGTGACGGGGGGAAAGGGGATCGGGATCAGTGGAGCATTTGGCCATACCGCTACGCCTGCGCACAACAGAGAGAGCAACAGGATGCTCCGTTTCGCACTCACCTTCTGCTGATGCTGCTGTTCTGCTCCGCTGTTCTGCGTCTAACAAAACGCGCGAGAGAGAGAGAGAGTGTGCTGCCAGCTCCGGCGCTGAGAGGATCAGGGCACTCTGCTGGCTGCGGCGTCGCTGCCTTATGCGTGCGCTTGCTTTTTTTTCTTTTCGCTTCTTCTTCTGTTGCTGCTGATCCTCTGCCCTGCTCTCCTCTCGTGGATGCTGCTTCTGTTATTGAATCCGGTTTTCGGATATTTCTTTCCACTTGTTATTTTTTTTTCTTTCTCTACAACTCCTTTTCCTTTTCTCCTCAAGAGAAAAAAAACACTGAACTAGTAAAAAAATGCACTTGGAATTTGTTTAGAAAAAAAGAAAACACACACCGACGCACACAGGCACGGCACACACACACACACGCAAAGAAGCAAAAACACCTACGCAAAGACGCGGCTCGGCAGGAAAAAACAAAACACGTGAACGCCGCCAAAAAGAAGGAAACATAGGACGCTGACGCCGACGATGGTCCTGCTCTCCGGTCTCTCTGTCCTGCTCTGTTTAAATGTTTAAACAATTGAACAATTCATGTATTTACCACGGGGCCCGAAAAAGCGCGGAAGATGGGACGCGACAAATCAAAAATACGTAAAACGGGCAAACGGCAGGCGGCAAACGACGCGCGTGGACCCAACCGATTTAAGCATTTGTACTAACTATTTGTGGGCGGCAAGGCCGTTCTTTCAAGCCAAATGTTGATGCTCGTTTGAAATGTTGCTCGGCAGCAAACCTGTGTTGCTGGGGAAAAAGAGGGGTATGGACAACAGGCCAACCGGGCCAGCGAATTCAACGCATGCAACGTAAAATACACCTCAATGCTTAACATACTGTGATTGCTTACAGGGCTTGTAAACAATCACTTGTTGATCTAACACGGTGAGGTGAGGTGCGTGTTGTGTTTGAAATGTTGCTGGGCCATTTTTGCCTGTTGTCCATACCTTTCCATGGCCCGGCGGTTCGAGTTCGCTTAGCCTGTTTGATCAAACGTAATGTTGCAGAAAATCCGGACTCATGTTCTTAAGGCACCCGACTTCGGCCGACTTCGGGTTTGAAGACAACCAACGATGTTACCGGCAAATCCGCTGGGTCAAACATGTTCGAGCACGGAAATGGCTTCCTGGCTTGCTGTAATTGTATGGGAGTTGGCTGTAAAATAGCGGAAGTTCTGCTAATTATATGATATGCTAAGTGTCTTAAAGGGTGTTTTGTCTATCGAAGAAGGATTTCCCCATATGATTCTAGTCGTTGTCTTAATGTGGTGTATGTTATTATTTTTCCACCAATACACTTTTGGTTTTCTACTTTTACTTTAAGGACTGCAAGCATGAACCAACTTTAAGCAATTAAGATCAATTCAAACAACTGGAAATAGTTATTTTATGCAGCTTTTGCTGAAACACAGTGTTCTTTTATAATTTTCCACTTGACTGTATAGCCCTCTCACTCTCACTGCATGCTTTTATATAGGGATGGGAAAAATCATAACTTAATTTATCTTATTTTGGCTACGACCGTGATTTTTAAAGAAGTGGCTAAAGATTATTTTGTATTCTTATACTTTATACTTCTGTTTTCGTAGAATAATTGTGGTGTACTAACTCTTCTAGCTTTTTTTCTCAAGCACAGCCAATGTTCGTGCCAGCACTGTTCCTGACCCGTTCAAGTCGTTCGCTGTTGCTCGGCCGGTTCGATGCTGACGAGCACGCCTGCGCGCCTGTCAAGCCGGGGCGCAACAGTTTGACAATGTTGCACCTCGAGCATGTCTGATGATGTTGAGTTAACATTTGGTTGCGCAGCGTCTAATCAATTACTGTCTCTCTCTACCTCACTCGCCTCATCGCCTCATCATGCTCTCTTTCTTGCGCTCTCCTCTGTCCGATCAGCTCTCAGCTCGAAAACTGTTCGATCGCGGACAACAGGTGTTGCGAGCGGGAGGCTCGAGTTGGGGTGCGAGTGCGTTTGAAGCAAGCATTTGCATGCGTTGAATGTCGGCCCAGCCCCCCTCCCCCCACACGCTAACACACTATCTGCCGCTGCCCATGACTTTCAGTGTTTCATATGGTGGAGAGAGGAGTCGGTGTGGCCGGGGGGGTTAATTAAGCGGCTTCTCATTTGCGTGCACTGCAAAGCAATTGCCAGTCTAGTGGCAGGGAGGGGACAGCGAGGCCAGCTGACCTTGAACATCGACGTGCTGGCCCCCGCCGACCCCCCGCTCAATGTCAAGCCGTGCTTCAAGTGGTTCGGAGAGACGCATGGGGGACAGCGAATTGCATGAAAAGGGTATGCTCGAACCGCGGGGAGGTGGCGGGACCCATTACGCTTTTCCAACAACGAATAACTCCTCAGTTTTGAAGTTATGTCGACTTAAAATTGCCCATGGTCTTTTTTCGGAATGGAAAGATTATTTCTTAGAATCATTCAAATCATTCAAGTTTATTGTATATCTGTACAATATATAAATGAGTTTTATAGGGTGTCATAGTGTCGCGGTACGTATGCCGCAACTCCGATCTTCCAGCTGCTCTTCCGCCTTACACTTTTCCCACTTATCTGCTCTGTTTTCTTTTCAAGCTCTTTCTTTCTGTGTGTGTCCTGCATCCTTATCGGAACTTTCCCAGCCCCTGGATTGACGGCTATAATTACTTTAATGATGATTTCAGCTTCAGTTGACTCGTGGCTATCAGGGGGGGAGGTGAGTAAAGAAAGACTGAAGGGAATGCCGTGAGAGAGCCTTATGGGTGGCGTGGGTGGCAGAGTGTCAGGGCCTTTGTTTGTGGGCGCTTAAAATGCAATTATGCCCTGAAAACTTTTCACGGGGTTTTCCCGCCCCAAAGGACATCGTTGAACGGGGTGCGAGGGCTGCTAGGGGGTAAATCTGCGGGGGATTGGTGTCTGGCTGGAAAAATGAATTTGATTCGAATAAAGCCATGTGAAAAAGTATTCCGACTATGGGATACCCTCTAAATGAAGTCTTTTCTGTTGGTTTAATGGTCACATCTTAATGATTCTTAATACTTCAGTAGATTAAGGGCGATGCTATATTTGTTTCGAATTGCATTGCTCCAGCATTAATGGATCCCTTATACCCTCATTTTTTGCCTGCAGCTAGTTGCAGCATCCATTGGCGGCCCTGCAACGCATTCAATTGAAAATATTATTGCAAATTAACCCATTAATGGCTGCCCCTATGGAAGGAATGGAGAGCAAGGAGCAGGAAAACGAGGACACCTGAAAGACAGCAGCTCTCTCTCGGGGTTCCATGGTATAATCACCAGAAGGAAGGGAGCAGGAGCCTACCAGCACGTGTCTACAGTGTATTGGAAATCACGTCAACACTTATGCCAGAGTTCAATCCTTTCGAGCCGTGGGAATCTTTTCCACTCATCCATACTCACTTTTATGTCCCCGAGAACACGTCTTGAAAGGCTCTGGTGAGCAGCGAACACTTCATGAGGCGCGAGGTCGGGGGTTGTAAGACGCAAGATTTATTTATTTTGATATACAAAATGTATGTACATTGTTCAAAAAAGATATTTTTGAATTTATGTTGAAAAAGATTATTGAATTAAATTAGGAACTGGAATACTGCCAATAAGGATTTCGTTCATACGGGAAGGCGTATTTGTATTTCTTTAAAACAGCTCCTAGTAGCTTCCCCATGACGCAGAGCTGAAAATGTATTATTTTGACGGTAACTTATTTTTCGTAATTGTTAATTAAATTTACATAGTTATAATAAATATATAAATTATATATGTACTTACATTTTTTATCAAAATTAAATTTACAACTTTTGTAATTGGAATTTTATAACTTTCTATGATTTTAATTTGCTATGAATTACTACAAAAAATGACATACATGTCGTGTGCACTAGGCGAGTTTTTCTGGTAAGAGTTTTGTTGTTGTTGTTGTTGTGGTTGGACTGAACCAAAATTCAATGCTAGCCAGTCCGGCTTATTTCTTCTTGTATTTTTCTTGTATAGGTACAACAAATAGGCGTCGTTTGAGGCATCGTTTGTTACAAATCTATGGAATGACGGTTAAAGTGCAGCCTTTTGGCCAAACCACTTCAATGCCGTTACTCGAAATTCGAACGAATATTGAGCAGGGATACCATAAGCCTGAATGCCCTACCTCCACGTTGGCGCCAGGATTGCTTTATAAATAAGAACCTTATTGGACAGGCTAAGATCCAGAAGCCAGTACAGCTTCCTGGCCTTGCTGTCCAGACAACTTCAGATGATCTTTGTGTGGCTGGCAAATGTTAGTCGGGTATCCAACAGGACTCTTAGGTATCAATGCTCCCTGCGCTGTTCCAGAAGTTCGCCATGAAGGAAGACTCTAAGGCACGTTCCTCTTTTTGAAGAGTGTGTCACACTTCTCCGGGTTGATGGCCCAGTTTTCGATCTGATCCAGACTCGGCAATCTGCTAGAAATGGCCATTCTCAACGATTATGTGTTTTTGATGCTCTCGTATCTTTACAATTGTGGAGCCCGCAGACTTTCGGATTTTGTAAGAGCAAAAAATACAAATAATAGTCTCTGAGATCTAAGCGACAGACAGACAGACAGACATAGCTATATCGAGTCGGCTTTAAATACTGATCAAGAATATATATTCTTTATAGGGTCGGAAACGCATCCTTCTGGGTGTTACACACATCCACAACCATGTATATTTCAAGGCTCTTTGAGTGCCGTTTATAAATACACGACGATAATATCTTTTTTACTTTGTACAATGCTGGTTTGTATAAGTTAGCTGTGGCGTTTCACCCACTCTGAAAGGTGTCCTTCTAATGGGATTCCCTGCTTCGGAGTTTGGCACTTTGTTTTCCTAAAGCCAAAATGATACATTTCCGGCAACTATCCGAACATCCCGCTTGTCTAATAAGCCGTACTCTTACAGTCCAAACGTCCAAAAAATACATTCAACTGATGCTTAAATAAATTGCACTTTGCAATAGTCATATATATTACAACACAACTTCAACGATTGGAGCTTTGTGTCCATGGAAAATGGACAACAAAGTTCCAAACAAAGTTCCCATTCAGATATGCACAATAAGGAGGTTCCAATGTGAGCAATGTTGAATGCATTGATATCTAATTACTGCAACGTTCTACCGTTCTACGTTCTGTCGAAAGAGGAGGAAGACCTGGTGCTGGACTCGATCAACGCCGTGGCATACCCTTTCTCAACACTAGTATGTATGTTTCTAATGTAATATATTTTCCATAAGGAATGA